GTTTCCTTCACTCACATCGTTATCATTTAATTTTGGTTATAAAATCGTCTTGTTATTTTATGAAAGGGGAGTTTTAATAAGACAATGCTGAGCGTGCATAAAGTTTATTTTTGTGTCGAGAATCTTATTGTGTTTTGTCGAGAAGGATATTACATACTCAGTCACCATCCTTTGCCTGGTCACTATGGATGTATGATGTCATATTTGTGGTTTAATGTCACAGTCGCAATAAGTATTCATTCGAAATAATTACTTTTCATATTATAATATATATATATAAGTCAAACAACCTACTTGTGGGGTATAGACCGTTCTCATTCGCTCAAACCGCATTTTATCACACTAATTTGCATATAGACGTATTTTGATGCATTTTTTATCCTTCATCAGTTGAACAGACAAAACTAAAGGTACTAAACAGAGAGTGAGAGAAATGCCGCTGACGCAATGGCTAATGTTCCATTTAAATCAAGGTAGCTTGTAACTAATCGAACCTGGAACGGTCAAACAAGTGGTTGATAGCGCGAGCAACGATCCATGTCGTCGGGGTGCGATGATTCTTTTGTTGATATAGTAACGCCCCACCAGCTGACATATAAACTTTATACAACATCAGGGAATATTTGTCAGAGAAAGTTCGTGTGCTGGGATGTTTGTATGTGTGTTGCCGATTGAGAAAGGGTGCATTTTTCTGTCATGCACTACATTACATTAAAATTAGTGCCAAACATGCAAACTGATATTGGATTATAGGAACGATATCTTATAATAAAAGTGCTTTGTATATATTTAAAGGTATTTATCTTACTTGCTTTTCATTATTGAACGATGTGGAAAAATCTCGCAATTCCATGTGGAGAGGCTCAAATAATATTTTATTGTATTTGATTTGTATTCTGTCTGAGGTGAGGCTGGAAACTCTCTGTCATGACCAGCAACGTAACCACCGATGACTATGTGGTCGGTTTCGTAGACACACATTGGGTCCTTTGGGTGTATTCTGCCCCTGAATCCCCTCCCTCGCCCTCTTGGGGTCAAACATTGTATACACGTGTTTGATATTTAATGTATCCATTGGCCATACATTGATGGTTTTTCTCACATGTTTTAACAGTTGTGTTTTTAAGCTTTATAATCATGTTGTATAGTTTGTTGCGTAAGAAACCATATTACAAGCTGAGACACAATTACTTGTAAACTATAATTTGTATACGACATTCTGAGACATCGAATGAGTGTAGAGAACTTGATGGTTTAGCAAATATGTTTTAATGGATATAGATCTATATACAAATACGATACAGTTATAAGTAATGACACATTCAACGTTCTATATTTCTGTTCAAGCGGAAACTGCTCTTTTTCAGCTTAAATCGCAATATTGTCTTTAAAGTTATCAAATTTATTTCTTCTGATATTTATCAAAATTTACACGATTTAAAACGCTTGATTATCATGTTTGTCGTGTGATACGACTCATCTTAAAACTAAATCAACTTGTGTTGGATAGGTTATAAAAGAAACTTTCAAAATTATGTTTCTAAAGTGTCCAAGTCAATAGATCACAGTTAAATAGATACATTTCACACATTAAAACTTAAAACTTCCAAGCTACCCTTGAACATAGCCAATTAGTTCATAAATATCCCACTGGCGAGTAGATCGTGAAAACAAACAGGAACCAATCAAAGCGTTTCTTTGATGCCAAACTAAGCTATAAATATATCTAATCGATCACAATAACGAGGAAAATCAATCATTTATTGCAAACAGGTTAGGCCCATGAATAGGCAATACAAACCTATGAATAAATTAGGCCTGATCAATAGCTCAACATTTAGACCTAATCCCATAGTTTAAGATTACTCCCTTTACATGTATATTGATACGGTTTATGACAAGATCGAAATTGACAACTTTCATGATTTGTGTTATTTGCAATCTCTGTCGGTGTTTGTGTTCCCTTCTGTAAATTCTGATGTAGGCACTTGCAAGTGACATCTTGTTGAAATTATTGTAGGTGTGATGAGAGAGGCCATCGCCAACACTATGATTGATGGTCTGGTTAAACCAATGATTATATAGACCGTTGTATGGTACGGTCCTTTACCATGTAAAGCAACAGTTATGTCATTTTTCACCAATCAAACCATGGCATGTATGTTATGACTTATATTTTTACATGTTGGATATGAAATAGTTTCTATGTTACTGAGATTTATTTCTCATACAACCCGAGGGAAGAAACGCGCATCTGATTTAAAATAATATAAACAAAATAAGATGAGAATGAGAAACTTTCGTAACATTCACTTCTTAGATTTGTTCGCATTATTTCTCCGTGAACCAATTTTGGTTTAAATATCTTTAATATGCAGGTCTATGAATAAAGTTATTTTTATAAAAGAAAATAGATAGGAGATTGGATAAAAATTAAAAGAGATATATGCTTAATATATTTGTGTTGTTACTGTGCTGTCAACGAGAATGAATATATATAATTTAGGAATACGTATACATGCGAAATGTAATGGAATCCATACACAAGCATATATTTAGTGCAATGTCTATTTCCATTTTCCTAAGGTCTAATCTCCTAACTAGTCCGTTTCGATTTGGTATGAAAGCATAGCTTCTAAAGTAGTACCTAATATTTCTGCAAAAATTAATTCCGCTTTAAGAAATATGTTCTTACTTGTACAGTTTACCGGGAAAACAATGCATGTGTGTAAAAGGAAATTGATTTAATAATTTGTTTCGAATTACTTGTTCTTGGTCGGATTTGTTATTCACGTTTAAAGAACAGAATAGTGAAACCAAGGCGAATGACGTATTACGGGTTATTCAAATAAGATGTTTCTTTCTGTATTACAAAATACAATATGCAAATTCAGTTTAAATCTATTACCATTGTTATTGGAAAGTCGGAAAAAAAGATCACACTAAACATTCTAATAGCCAACATACTTAGCATAATTGCACATTTAGGAATTTAATTTGTTCGCGTGATTTGACAAGATTCTTTGTTTATTAGCTGTCCACAATTAAACTTGTTTTTTTAATTCCAAAATCTCATATCATCCGATCATTGAAAAACGCGAAACAACATCGAAAGGTACTTAGACAGGATTTTTTTATTAATTCAAGTTCAATTCGTTGTGCTTAGATATCGAAATAGTTGCACGAGGCTTCAATAATGTGCAGATGTCATTGGAAGGTCACTCAAATCTTCACTTATAGCTCCCTTACGGTCAGAACAATCTGATTACTCTCGTAATTTAAATTTTGTTATAGATGAAACTTTTATGTTTAGTTTCTTGAGTAGCGGGTTATGCAAGAAAGGTACTTTCCCAATCACGAGAGGGGAGATTGTACGTATCAAACGAATGTAATTCAGCTTGTCACAGAACGCCAGGCATGAACACTGGCTTCATTAGAGTCGCTCACTGTTGAAATTCTTTCTGAAATGGTCATTTTATTGTCTTTTGAAGCCATATGTTCGCGGGGATGTCTAGCAATTTCGTTTCATTAGAGGCAGATCCGTCATGGAAGATGCCCCATGAAACGATCGTAAAAGTTGAGACAAGGGGTCTTTCTGATACCTGTGCTCTGACCCATTGCTGGACTGTCCGAAACTGGACAATAGAAGCCAGTCTCCCCACGCCAATTTTGACTTTTGGGTGTCTTATATCTTTGAATCCGTCTCTAAACAAAAGAAGGCCCTTTATTGTCATTTTTACGTCCTTTTCTCAAATCTTTGTTCAGACCATCCGGTATCTCTTGCTCTCTTGGTTTGATGTCCAACGATTCTTAACAATCAGTTTTATCAATCGTAAATTTTTTATGTCTGATCCTAGATTCTGTATTCGAACAATGCCATTGTTTACCAGGTTAAAAGAATTTTGTTGTGTGTTAGGTGTTAATCCCTCGGCTTTCGTCAGCCGGTGGAGAATATCCGATAGTACAATAGAGTTTCTTGCAAACTGTTGTTGAATGCTGGAATTAAACATTCTACAACGGAAATACCATTTCCTAATTTTAAACTCCGTACAAAGAAAATTATTAGAGACAAAAGTATACATGAATTTCTATTTGAAATGCCAAAGCAAAAGCGTTCTACGCTCTTTAATTCTATTTTTCTCACCTTTCTCAAACAAATCTATCACTATTGAAATATTGAAAAATATAATGTTTCCGTTTTGAAAGTGATATATACGTTTAGAATTTTCTCAGTTTCCAAGCTATATTAAATATAACATGAAATGTGTAACGTTTCATTAAGGAAATAATACATACGAGTGTGTGTGTATTAAAATGCATAAGTTATAAATGAATAAAGTTCCTATTGTCCATCTCTGAACAACAGTTGTATTACATTAACTGACTTATGGCTGTGTGATTGGCTGTGTAAGGTATCCTCTGTTCAGAGAAGCGGATGAAATTTAAATAATTTACACACGTCTGGTTACACATTTATAGAAGTAGAGAAAAATCAGACCAACTGGTAGTTTATTGTAAGATTTTGATATGCTGTATTTCAGTAGAAAAACATACAATTACATACATATTTATGTCATAAGAATTGTTTAATTGTTAGGAATTGTCAACTCATTCATTTCACAACTATGTTTTGTTGATTTGTTGTCTTACTAGTTGTTTCTAGATGTGTATCAAATATTTATTTGCCACCATAACTAGTTTCGACAAATGCCATTTAGTACAGTTATTTACAAATTTCAAACAAAATATTAATGTTAATTGTTGTTCTTCATGCATAAAATGTTTTCGCATATTTTTCTAATTTTCATTTCATGCTATATGTATGATTCATCAGACTAAAAGCCCTTTTATATCTGATTACAAACAAATGAAACTGGCTCAAATCTACGAATTCCCATCATGAAGTTAACGCCCATAAGGATTTTGGCTCCATAAAAGGTATCAAATAACGGTAAATCATTTCAAATACACCAACTACATATTATGTCCATTAATGCTGTATGTGTTTTATTTTCGAGATACTGAGTACATGGTTTGCGAGAATTACAAGCATCCTGGAGAGAATATACATACATCAATAGGAATATGACCCTCATCAAAGTTCGTTTTAAATCCGATCCATACTTTGGATGCACCAATTTCTTTGATAAGAGGCATGCATCTGAAAAAGATGAAAATAGACGTCAGTTTTAACGGAAATGTAAATATCCAAACGATTTTCCCCGTTGGGTATTACACATAATTATAGTATTAGGTTATAACCACATGTACATCTGAACCCAAAGTACACTTATGTGAATAAGGAGACAAATATTATCTAAATGATAATTAACAGCTCGTCTAATGTAACTCTAATGAACCCCACATACAACATATCACTTCTTTGTACATAAAGATAAATACTTGCTGAAATGTTTCTAAACATTCTGACATTAAAATGGCTTACAATGAAACACATTGATAATAAACAATAATGTATTAATCGTCCGACATAAATAATTTAGTTTAAAGTAGATACATACCATTAAGTAGTTTGACCTTACAGAGGCGATTTAATCACTTTTGTAAAATTTATAGAAGAAAACAATCAAAGATATTAACGTAAACCATAAAAATATAGTTCAGGGTGATATATAAAACTGTCAAAATAAGGGAATTAAATCGATCGATACCACATTGCCCAGATTACATCAATCGTTTGCAGCATCGCGTGGCAGGTACCCGAGTTATCTCCCTTCTTTAAGGGTTTCATACCGAGCCAGATATGTTGTAGTCGAGACATCTGGTAAACAGTTGTGCACACTTGACGAATGTAATATGTAATCAGGAACAGACTGTCTGTTATAAGCAGAAATGTAGGAATCTCTACACGTGGTGTAAAGAGTTAATGTGCGTTCCAATCTTACCTAACGTCATTTTGTGACGTTAAAACGTAAATACTGAAACTAGGTTGGCTCTGATATATCGTTTTGTCCTGTTGTTTTGAATTGTTATCAGCCCATACACTATTTGGAACTCGATGGTTTTATAAATGGGAGAATAATATTACCTACATGTATATTGTATTAAATGTGATACCACATTGTAGTGTTAAACATACTTGTGGTAAGCCGTTCATATTTTAGCGTGGATACCAGCGTGTCGGCTTAAATATAAGAAGGGTGGAAGAAAAGAACCATTTGTGAGAATTGTATACATTACGTAACATTTGAGGGGGCACGGGTGGCCCAGTCGTCTAAGGCGCTGCGATTCGATGCAGAGTTGCGTCACTTCGGAACGCCAGAAACCTATGATTGTGGGTTCGAATCCCGGTTCGCCCCGATTATGTTTCTAGGTTTGTCAGCACCATACCCGTGCTCATGGGTTTCGCCGAAGTGGTAAACGTCTGAGACCTGCATCACTTCGGGCTTTCCTCCCACATTAAGCTGACACGCCGCGATATAACTGGAATACTGTTAAAAGCGGCGTTAAACTCAACTCACTCACTTAACATTTGAGAGGGATATTCTGAGTGTTCCGGTGTGGATTGAACCTGAATGATAGGTATGAGATGTCCTACGACCAGTGGTCGATTTTCCACAGACACATTTGCAGTTTCATATCAAGATTTAAAAACACAACACCATTTCCATAAGTTCTCAGAGTTTTGAAAGTTTACAATTTATCAAACGTTAAATTTTAAATCTCACAAAACACAATCATCAGAACCGTAGAGCTACCAGCATACATGGAATGAATAAGGTTATTCCTCTGTTATGAGAAAGGGTCGTTTGCTTACCTATATATCCAACAGAAAAACTAAACTGCAGGATCTACAACTGTCCATCGCCCACAAGCAAAACAAAATAATACAGAAAGAGCTACGCCAAAACTATGTGTGTCGACTAAGAATTTGGTGAAAGCCATTCCTTTTGGTAATCATTTAAGTGCCTAACGGTAGTTTTATTAAATGGGTATGTCCCCATGGCAAGCCACACACCATGCAAGTATTTCCCGCACCTCTATGAACCATTGCAAGTGTGTGGCCCACTCATATTTGTTAGAGTAGTTTTCAATCTTTATAAATCATGACTGTCTGTATCGCCTATAACATGGATCAAACTCGACGCAATCACCTTAAGCAGCGTGGTTTCTCATTAGTGGTCTGCAGTGAGATAAAAGGGGAGACCACCCGAGGTCGCCAGACATTGGCTGGAAAAAGGACCTCTTGGGTGGCAAGGTCACAAGCTCGATCCCGAAGGGGCAATAACTCTAGCCACTTTGAACCCAATGACATTCATAGAAGATTGGTTCATTTTAATGGCTGGGACGTAGAATCTCATTCTTGTAAGGCATGAAGCATACGATTAAATAAGTCCACTGAGAATCTACTGGCTTGCAGTGTTAAAAATCTGACCATCCCGTCCACGTTTTTTCGACAGTTAGGTTGCTTGATGTGAAGAAATATGGTCCAAGAAGAAACAGACAGGGTTCCATTTTGAAAGCCGTACTGACGTTTTGAGTTAAAAAATCAATGAATTTAAATTTACTCACTTCACCCGATGATTAATGTTAAAGCATTTATTACACAAAAGCACAAAAGTGTGAAATAGGAGAGTGTTGTATAACGGTTGAAATATAATTGATTTATATTTAATAATATCAGTACCACCAAAGAAGAAGGGGAAATGCTTTGTTCTATATGACGGCCACATGACCATATATCAAGATATCTATGTTTATTTAATAAAGCTGTCAGTACCAGGGAGTGATATCATCCCGTTAGAATTACACATGGTGCCAATCACTGGATTGTATGGTCCAGACTCTTTTTTTCAGAGCGCCGTCATATAGATGGAGTATTGATGAGTACGGCGTTAAACAACAAACAACAAACAAAGAATTACACGTGATAAATTGAATCACATTACTTCATAAGCATTATATTATTGCACGTACTGATTGATAACGTCCTTTTCAAACTTCATACCTCGTATATTTAGGAAATTGTTGAATTCTTATATCATCTTTTACACGAATTTGTGGTTTGGTGTTTCTTTTGAAATGTATGATAACATATTATGTGCTAGTTTAGATATGTTGATAAATCAAGTTACCCTAATGACATCAACCTTATCGGAATCAGGTCCTTATAGCATGTTGCCTGGCAGCGATCCGTGACGATTAAACATGCACGACCATGTACAGGTGAAACCGGTGCTTCTCTGAAACACGCTTTCAGCCTAATTAATCAAATACATTTATTGTATTAATCTAACGCGTCATTTACTTAAAAGGTCCAACTCTTTTAACATCTCGTATGATGTTTATCCAACGTTCCAAGTACATAATATCAAATTAGTCAGGTGAATGGTAATTCAACAATTGCAAATAAACTGTTCTAGTGTAGTTGAAAGAATTATTACTGACTGTGTGTGTTATATTATGTGGGATGAGAATGGCTTGAGCGTCCATTGTGCATATCACACATGTGGTATGTCTAACTGATAATACAGATTCAGCCCTTCATTTCCCTTTTCAAAACCGGATCGGTTGAGAGATGGTGTATGAAGCATGAAAGCTGGTGGTAAAAATACATGAATTTATGTGTCGGAATATATACAAATGTATGTTTAGGTGAATGCATGCAGGTATATTAAATATTTTAAAAATGCACGGAACAGTTGCAAACACTGTTGGGCGTGTTCACCGTTAACATCGAATTGACGAGTTTATTCATGAACATAATATGAAAACGTATCATTGAAATCCGTGTATCTAATACTACAAAACAACCAGTCAGTTATCAAAACATATTTGTTATATACCCCATTATATGAAATATGTAGAAAAAGAATCGTGAGATTGCATGAAGAGAAATCACGCATCCAGATACTGACACAGATTCTACTTTACTACTGAACATATGTAATGTTGGTTTGCGACAAATACATTTACTCGTGCAGCTGAATAAGTAAATATAGAGTCAACATACACATCCTACATGTACTACTAGTGCAGTGTTTTTGATTGACTGGACAAATTTAGGGTTAAAATATACCTGTTTTGTAAAAACTCTTTTCAAACATTTACTTGTTGAACTGAACAATGAAATGCAAATGACTCATGTATATTTAGATATACAGACGTTCAGCGGATATTTAAAAAAAGTAAAATACGTGATATGAAAACGTATGATGAATTTTTATGTCTAATTCATATGTCAAAATAATATTTTCTAAACCATTACGATTGTTTATGTGTATATCAATTTAGTGTGGTTACCAAAGGTCTATTTAAAAAAATAGAGTTCATTTGAAAACACGTATGGTTCATGTTCCATCATAAATGTACTCATTTCAAATATTTTATTTCGTGATATAAAAAAACCCTACTGCATAAAACCTGCGCTTGAGATGACGTATTCACCATGACAGAAATGTTTTCTTGATGACAGAACATAAAACAAAGATATTCAACTGTCGATTTATTACCCGAAAATGAGAATAAATGACAAGTTTAAAACCGCGAACTTGGGTTCACGCGTGAACAAGAAATACGCTAATCTATGACAGGAGAAACTTCGCTAATGAAGGGTTGTATTTTGGAATTGAAGCCGTCTTATGCTGAATGAATTACAGCGACATCTTCAAACATATATAAGAATGAAACACTAAAAAATGACAGTTTATGGTACATTTACAGACTATAAGTTAGTATTTAAAGTCCTTAAACGTTGTTTGGCGGGATTTCGCCTAAACGCTCTCAATAAATCAGAACGATATCATCTAGAAAACACGCATCCTTCACTCAATCTCAAACTTCGCTTTTAATACTGCCTGTCACTCACTCTTGACATAGTGCATGTTTTTGGCCGAATATATTTTCTAAGATTCTAAAGGAAGTGACATTCAGAAATTATAACTCTATTTTTGTGATGACATGCCATTTAATATATAGAAACTTAAATTCTCAACTGATTCAAAAATACAGTTTCTATCGCTGACGTGTTATGCACCCGGTTTGTAATAAAGTCTGAAATAATAAATCTTCTGATATAATTAAAAAAACCGTTCATTGTATTTATTAAAATACATTTCTCTTAAATCCTTATACATACTGATCTTTATGAATTTGATAAAATTCAAGCTCAACATCAGATATTTAAAAACATATGTCGGCGTCATATTATTGGGTGCAAGAATGCATGCTTACATTTGAATCGGGAAGACGATACGTAATGACACTTAAAAAAAGCGCGAATGTCCTGTGTGATTATGGAAAGTGTTTTTATTCGAAGGGAATGGAAAATGGAATGGAATGGTAAATATATTTGTCAAACAAAAACTAATAATGTAATCAATGATTATGTAACGAAAACCAAACATATTTAAATGTGTATTATTTATTTAAAAAATATTTTTGCGTAGATGTTCTGTACATAGAAATAACTACACAAGAGTTAAAGTATGTTTAAACAACGTTGTTTGTTAAGAACCAGTACATGCCGGGGTTGCGTCATGTCCTAGGTTACGTGTGTAACAAAGTCTAAACTATTTCAAACATACCCACATTTATTAGTCAGACTCAAATATATTTACAGATCGTCGTCATATAGCTGGATTATTGCTGAGTGCGGCGTTAAACAACAAACAAACGAACAAACATTTATTAATGACACTTGAGATGATACTGATGAACGAAAACTATTACAATTTCAATCGTGAAGTTTTTTCCTCAGGATGTTAACTTCACATTTAGTGTAACGTTGAAAGAAGCAACATTGGGGATGGATCCTAACGCTGGGTCCCTCCCAGGGGGTGTCCTTGCACGGCGTAGTAATACATAACGAACAAAGCCTTCATGCGCAATCAGACAGCCGAATCACCGTTTTCCAAACGTGGTCGCCTCCGCATTAAGAGAACAGCGAATTTTAACAGCAAAATTAATATTTATCGCCTCGAAATGAAACCATTATTATAATAATTCCCAAACGAATGCAAAAGTCTTGGAATGGTTGGGAAACCCTGATTTGTTTTCTGCTCGTTCATCGAGCAAGCCAAACCGTTTGTGAAGATTGCAGAGCTGTTTGTTACATACTACAGTAATAAATCCATGTCAACTTTTGAGGAAAAAAGAATCTTCGTATTCATTCTGTAGCTTATCTGTCCACTCACTGACATTTTCACGTTTCAAAGGAAGGACTGAAGGAAGGACGAACGCAGGCAATTGTTGAGAAAAACGAATCCAAGCACAGAAATTGGCGAAATCAGGTGAGCATGAACTGTTACCCCCTGACCACATCTGGGGTTCTGTTTTAAATAGTAAATGCAAGGCCTTATATGCATGAGATATTTTATGTTCGATGGGTGCTAAAATACCCGCACCTCTTTTATCGTACAAGGTTACTGTAGCGTTTGTGGTAATGGTGTACAGGAGAAGAGGGGAGATAGGGGTTCGTTTACCCTGGACCATGAAATCATTTATTGCTGTGTTTATATGATGAACGGATATTATACTCACACTCAGTAAAGAATAAAAGTAGCATAAAAGCCTCGCCTTGTCTTATCACCCGCGGAAGGGATGTCGTCATTTTATTACGTGTTATTCTACCCTTGTCTCAAAATTAAGCAATGAAACCATCCCGAATCACCCTTCTGTGGCACTGGCCAGTTCAAATTTGTCTAAGTTACACAATTCTTGGGGCGTCAGGACACCAAACCACATTTATAACAACTCATGTAATTTGGAGTCCAATAACTTCGAAAGGAAATAGAATCTTTATACCTTAAGCTCCCACTCTCGGGTCCTCCTTGCTCAATATCGTTTCTCGGAGTGAGTTTGAGAATCAAATTTAGACGGGCCGTCCCATCCTGTCTAAGAAGCTGTTCGGCCTGTGCCAGGAGTGGAAATTCTAATTACTCAAAGACTGGGAAGAAGGGGCATAAACTGTTGTACTGATTAATCATATAAAAGAGAATATTGCCCGTTTTATGACACTCATAGCGCAAAAAATGACACATAAATACCCCACGTAATTGAAAAATTTGATCGAGTCGACTCATCTTCAAAGAGCTTGGCTCAAGATATGTGATCCATTTCGGCAGAGGGGCACTGGATCTCCTTTCTACAGATTCCTAAATCAAGCCCATGCCTTTGTTAAAGCGGATTGATCTAACCTATTTCCTTGGAGCGAATTATTTCCCTTTTTCAAGAGACGCTATGGGGTAATGAAAAAAAATATATCATTGAATATGCAAAGAGGGTTCGCAAGATGCTGCCCCTAGAGCTCTTCAGGGGAAACTGTAGCAAAGCGCCACTGAATAAATACCACCCTAACACTAAAGAGAATTCCATTAGAAAAATGAAATAATAAATATGCGTATCCTTTTCGCGTTTCTTGCATTGTCTTTGCAATTGAGGAGTATGGCTTTCTGGAATATTGTGCATAAAACCCAATAGAAAGAGTCATATATCTTCTCAAGACATCTCAAGCTTCTAATTTGATGCAGTTGGACGGGAGGCTTGTATTAGGCTGGTTGATGTAAATGCTTCAAATTCAATAAATCACGCATAAGGACAACGTCTAAGTCATTCTTAGAAAATATGTAGCAATTACATTGAAAACAGGCCACAGGGCGAATTTGCATTATTGTTGTTGGGCACTGCTGATATGTAAATGATCGATCTAAACAAATACTATAAATGTGCATGTCATTCATAACCAATATAGGAAATATACATATTAATCATAATTTAGCCATAGCAAGTCTAGTAGTTCAATTTTTTAATAACTCGTCGATTCTGTGTGTGAAAAAAACTTATATAGGATCCATCTGTCATATCATTTCAAACATTGAGAGTTCTCGGGAAAATCATGCAAATTTATAACAGATGTTTCACAAACATGAAGAGAATTAGATGATAAAATCAGATTGCTTTGATAAAGACGAGCTCGTTCTCACACTGATCGATCAGAATTAATTTGCAACGGAGCATGCTGTTTTTTTTTAAATCATTGGATTACATAGTAATTAGGGATAAGCAAGGCATTATTTGGCGACGAACGAAAATGGAACAACATGGCGTAACGAACACTGAACGTTGAAATTAAATACTATAGAGATATATTAGGGATGCAAATTTCAGGGCGTGGATTGTTGAGAGACGAATTAAGAATATGTTAGTTTAAAGAATAATTACAAATGGTGTATTTAATTTATCTTGTAACAGTGATTAGATGTACGCGACAGGAAGAGCAACGTTGTGGGGTTTAATTTAGTTGTAATTGTAAAACTAAACATATCCAAATAAAATCTACCTTCCTTTATGTCAATGGTCAAATGTATGAGAATATTGCGAATATTTACAATTTCTTTAAAACAATAATCTTAGGCAGGTTATTGTAATGATATATTAAGTGGAATAGACGCACGTTAATCATAAATATGAGGAGAAAGTTAAATATCGCCATGAAAAAAACACATTCATATGAACATGAAAATAAAGTCAAAATTAAACTGCTTCGAGTTAAAGGTAATGGTGATTAAGCAACACTATATAAATATGAACAATATCTTTAATTGTATGATTATTTAATTCTTTTTCAAGATCACATGTACACTAGAAAGGACATGTTCAATATTGCACTACGCTTACACCCTACCAACACGTTAAATATTTATGGCGTCCCTTTCTAAGGATCATTTGATACATTATAGTCTTTCAGTTATTGTTGATAACGATTACCTAATGATTACCACGTTTTATGTTACATTTGAGTGAATAATAACTAATAATAATTCAGTGGAATCGGCAGCAAGGGTAAAATAAACACGTAATCTCCCAGAACCTGTCAATTAATTCGATGTCCTGTTTTCAGCTCAATGATGATTCCCCGATGGTTTGTTTGCATTCTTTCTAATTAATAATGCAATATGTTACGCATAAAATTGACGCTTCAAGCCAGCTCCAATTGCTGTATGAGTAGCTGTACATAATCAAGCATTTATACAGGTCTGACAAGATCAACGATGCATACAACGCAAGCTATTTTACTACACATCACTTAATAAAAATTAACAAATCTTTTCACTATCAACGAAATAATTTATTTTTGTTGCAAAATATACAAAAAATTAATAGGTTTCTTGTTACATAATGCACCGATCAAGACCAGGCTGTTAAATGTTTTAAAAAATACTTGGATGAGAGATTTTATAATTGCTGTCAGATTTTGATTTAGTTTTGAAGTAAGTTCTTATGAAATCGTTGTTTCAAGATACACAGAGTACCTTGAACGAACATGAGGAAAACTGTTTAGAATATTGGGAGAGTCGGTGTGCAGATATTCTCTCTGGTTTCTATCACATGGTACCAACATTTTATCTTGACAATTATTGGAGACTATAAATGATTTATCATATACAAATCCTGCCCTGGAAGATAGGTGAAATTCGACTGATAGGGCATACGAAACCCTTCGGATTTGCATTGTTTAGGATATATATGTAATGTTGTAGTAAATTAGTTAGTATTTTAACATCCAATTACATTCATTTTGTCAACAGTGATTGGTAAAAACGTGTGATTGGCATTTTCCGTTGTTCGCAAAGTTGCCGTTTTAGACATTCTGGTATATTCGTTTTCAGTTTTGAACAGTATACTCATTGTACTGTATTCACGAACACGTGGTATAATAACTTTTTGACAGTGATAAATAAACACATACTCATGATATAGTCGGAATCGTACAATCAAACGAGACTTTCTTGTGACTGTTTTTCCCTTTCATTAAACAATGTGAAACTATTTCCCAAACTTTAATATCCCTCAGATAAGTGACATGACTTGATACTAGGGAAGGGCATAAAATTTAACATCTATTTGCCAAATTTGTTTTGAATACACACAGCAAAATGATAACGATGGAAGGTGAATGGCTACATTTCCAGTTGCCAAATACAATATGTATCAAGAACACAGGTGAAACTAATAGTACACACTAACATTTGGAAATGATAGTAATCTGAAACATGACATTCCATCATGATTCAGTCTCGAAGCACCACATTAACACCCATCAAAGCTAAACGCAAGGTCCTAGAAAATACATATTCGTGATAATGAGACATATTTAAATACGTTATATTTATTTAAACACAGTCGTAGACAGGTATATCGTGACATGTGTAATCAATAGCAACATCTCTGATCACTAGGAAGCGGGGAAAGATGAAGATGCTGAGTTTTTAGACAAATACACGGTAAAACAAAGGGATATATATTTGTACGCATGCCTGTTATAAAGTAAAATGAATGTAATTGCTACAAAGGAGTGTTCCTATAACGTTTATCTGTCTGTTTACCATGTCCTGACAGGATAGAACGATTACTTTATGTACCAATAGATCAGTTAAAAGAGGAGATAAAGATTTTTAATGGAGTGCATTAAGTACACAACATTTAATGGAATTTATATGTTTTATTAAAGAATAACTTTCGTATTTAACACAAATTTATACACGTGTTAAGAAGCTTCACCGAGATCGTTTTACATCTGATGCATTATGAAACAGAGTATTTCAAAGCGGTTTTATTATTTTGAAAGCAGGTATTAGGTTAACGTAGCGAAGGTTTACAGTAACGTTTGGAGTATTACAACATAAATATGATTGAGAGTTGATTTTTACGCCAGCTGTAATGGCGACACAAAACACTTTTTTTTATGAAATCGTGGTAAAAAGTCTGTAAGAAGTCTGTGTAGTTTTTGTTGGAAGTAAGTATAGGTTATATTTTGTCACATTACACATTAGCATGGAATGTCATTTGCATGATATATTGACACGGACTCTTTGGACCAATATATAGTCGTAACAAATCAATAAAATGATTGTTTTAGTCAGGAGAATAACTGGCACGAATGGCTTTATGTGATATACAATACACGAGCTGTTAGGAAATAAACGGATGCTTATTTCTAGATAAATAAAAAGAGCAACACCTGTTTCATGAACATATATTAACGATATTTAACTCTAGAGCCGTAGTGATGAATAAATTTCTTTCTCTAAAACATGCCTTATATGGAACGAGATGCCTGGGTGTACATAATACGGCATGGCTTGTTGTTAAGCAGGTGATCGGTGATTGGTGATCGGTGATCGATGATCGGTCAGATCAAAACTGGAAATGAACATACAACCATTTGTGAAATTGTTACAATAAACATAGTTGATTAGTGAAAATATTTTTAGAAAACGTTTGTAAAAAT